TTTTTAAAGAGTACATTCGTCACGACTGACATGTTACACAAGATACATTTCAAATGCACTCACACTAACTTTGAGCTGTCAGATCCGCATGTTCCAGTTTTCTGTCTTCATTTGAAAATGCGGCTGAATTACACAGCCAAGGCAGCGAGACGAGAAAGCAAGCGTGCGCAGCGTGGGGAGGAACAAGGGAAAAAGCTTCTGTTTTTCAGATAGCTGCCCGGATTATTCTTCTACTTTCTCGGTAAAGTTCTTAAGAGGACAGACTTCCCAGTGAATGACATTAAAATCACCTAATTAAAGGAACTTCTCTAGTGAGCCTTCCTTAAAAAAACTCAAGGTATGCCCCAACAAGTTTGCCATTTTCTGAGAGATTTCATACTGATCTTTGTAACGTATTGGAGGTGTAATAGTTAATGTGCACTCGTTACCATCTTATAAGCAAGAAGCTAATTAACAACACTTAGCCCAAAGCAGACAAGTTTATTTTTTTCTACCTATCTTATGCCCACTAAAGATACTAACTCACTTCCTAACACTGTAGCAAAAAGTAAAGGGTCTTTTTTCCCATCGAAACCAGCAGAATACAGTGTAATAGAGCGCGCATTTTAATTTGTGTTTTCCTCAATATGCTATGATATGAATTGCTGCAAATATACAAATAACCGGCTTTAGACCACCTAGAAATTATTTCCCTACGACACTGGCAAAGGACAGAATCTCCACCTCCATTTTTACCTTCTCTCCCCTCACTCCCACTTTAATCTTTTTTGTTTCAGTGGCGTGTTATAGCTGCTCCGTAGCTCTGCTGCCAGTTACGTGATGAAGCCTGCATGCTGGGGCTGTAATTCAATGGCTCGCAAGCCACATACGACTTAACAGCCTCGCATGAGCCATCTTTGATCTAAAGTCTAATAAAAACAAAAGTGAAGAGCGTTAGCGTCGGTATACACGGAGATATGAACAAACAACCGAGACATTCTGATCTATAAATCGGATTTTAAAACGGTAGTGGTTTCTGTTAAACAATTTGTTGAATTTGCTTAGTACCCTCCAAAGCAATGACTCGTTAAGGGTTTCACGCTAACGAGGATGGTCTTCCATTCACTGACGTTGAAGGAAGGGGGGGGCTTTTTTCTATACAACCTACCCGCATCAACTCAACAGCCTGTTCATTGTGGTTAAGTGTTTAGGAAAGGTGAAGTGTTTATACACTGAGCAATTAACAATAGGCTGCTGAGACAAGAACATCTCCCAGGGTTTCATTCCCCAAAGGAGAAAAAAAAAACCCCAAAATAACAAAACCAACCCTTGATGAAATATTCAAGATGAAAACTGCAAAGGTTGTTAAACAAAGTGAGAAACTTCCAGTGTCTCTCATCCGCTGGAGAGGATTCCTGCGCACAAAATAAAGGATCGGGGGGATCTTTCGGAGCACGTCCCACCACGCAGCTCAGAGCTCGCTCGCTAGAGCTACCCCATCTTCCTTTTCCCCCATTCGATCTGAATTGCTGCACCCAGTTACAGGCAAAGTTTTCAAACAACTTATCTTAGCATCTCTCTATTAATTTCTAACGAACGACCTTAAAACAAAAACCTTAGTTTTGGTTTGACTCAGAGCTGAGGTCAACTTCAGAAACCCTTTCACACTTCCCTGAACCAAAAACGCACGTGAAAGAATTCATACGTACCTTGTAAGACAGAAGCTGAATTTCGTAGCATTTCCATTTGTTAGCTATTCTAAATCTATCCACTAACATCTTCTAAGGGCTGAGAAAACACTAAACTGCACTTTATGAGTCCCAGCAGAAGTCCTAAGAAATTTCAGTATAAAAATAGCTAACGAAAGAAAAAAAAAAAAAGGCCAATAAAAACAGGATCTTAAGAGACGTATTCAGTAATTTATACCACCTCTGCCGCTAGAGAAAGTGCTTCTTGTCACTCGTTCTTAGGTGCTGAGACAAAACAGTAGCTACTTTAAAAAAACCCCAATTAACAAGTAAGCGCGTTCAGCACTGACGAAAACAACCTGCAACGTCTGATGTGGACAGAGAGCTGCAAACAAGCGAACACCAAGCGAAGGATTACGATTAGTCGCAAGAAATCCACTGCAGCAAGAAACCGCACTCAAGGCTTTCACACCCAGCAGCAGAGAGGCGATACACCCAGCTAAACGTGCCCTTTTTTTTTTCCCGTCAGCAGTATTCCCATGATTAACGGTACAGCACGTGAAAGATGGATCCTTTGCTGTTCCCTTCGAGTTTACCAATCCAAATACTAATCAGACCAAGCGCTGTTTCATTTTGCAAGCCGCAGCACATGAGGCTTATTCACAATTTCTCCATTCTCACAGGCCTCCAGAGTGTCTTGTCAACCACAGGGCTTTGTACCACATGCAATCTGAATCTCCGCAGGAACTGCGGCGACAGATTCTTTACTAACGATCTTTGGACACACAACGGCTAAATAAATCCCCAATTTTGACTTACTGGCTGTAACACTCTATAAACCGTTGCATACGTGACTATTGTTAAGCCCTGCTCCTGAATAAGCAAAATTCTTTGTAACAAACAGAACTTGCACAAGACCAAGAACTATTCCAGACCTGAAAAGCTGCCAACTTCAAAACGCCCTTTTCACTTGAAGTCAGCTCACATTAATAGGAAGAATGATTAGGGGAAAAGTAAACAAGCGTTTACCGTTTGCAGCCTCGCGTTTGAAAGCACGCCTAGCTGAGAAACATCAAATGCTGCTCATGTTTGGCACGTAATTTTCAAATATTTGCACCTAGAATATTTGCAAAGCAATGAAAAACAACACCAAATGCTTTCGCTGCCCTCTTTTTTTTTTTTTTTAACATCATACCAACATATCTGACAATTATTAAACAACAGCAACCCCCAAGCGTAGCTGCCAAAGGCAGAGAAGCAGAAATTCAGCGCAAACCCCAGCACCACGCTTACTGCCGGCTGTAGACAGGGTGCCACTCCAGACACTTCTCTTACACTGACTCTCGTTTAATCCCAGGGCAAGTTTAATCCACAGCGTTCACACGCAGAGAGTTTTTAACGTTCGCCATTCTGCCGATTTACCCGCTCCCGCCCTCCCCGCTCCTGCGGCTCCTTCTCCTGCCCTCATTCTCACGTCCCAGCCGTGCGTTTCCTTTTCTCGAGCAAAACCCCAGCTCTCTTCCCCCCCACCGCCCCCAGCCCCCCCCTCCTCCCCCTCCCCGACACCTTATTTTTGCTCCCAGTCCCACCTCCCCGTCATCCCTTTTAACCCGGTCCCTATTTTTTGCCTTGCCTTTGCGTGGGAACGATTGATACTCCTTCAGAAGCTCCCGCCGAAGTCAATTAGAGTTTTGCCTGGGCTGAGGAATCGGTAGCGCCTATCACATCTTTCACCGCACGCTCCTCAGGTTCCAGCGAGCATCTTCTCTGAAGATGCAGCGTATGAAAGGACCAAACGTCGCAACGTTTCGCACGAGACAAGCTCAGCGACTTCAAGAGCTCGCAGCATCTTGCCCCGATTAAAAGTACAAGCATAGCTCTGAAAAGTAAAGGCGCTAC